TATAAACAATAAGTCAAAATCCCACTGACACATTCTTGTATCTGATACTATCTCTCCGAATGTTCTCACTCTGACTTTCAGAATCAAGCTGTGTTGTACTATCTTAGAAGACTCTCTGTTGCACCATCTCAGATGACCTGAATGTTTATGACTGACCCTTATTCCTCTGGGTCTCTTCATTAGCGCAGTACTGACAGCTCTGCACAGAAATTTGATCTTCGATGTTTTCTCTCATACAGCTACTTCCAGAGGTTGTCTTTTCTAACCCTGATCATGTTGCACTCTCTCTCATGGAGTTGATTTCAGAAGGCAAAATTATTACTGCCTCTCTAAAGGCTGAAGTTCTGCCTATGAGCGAGAAGAAGTTATTCACTTTGATGGCAAGAATGAAAAAAAATGTTTTAAAAATCATGACACTACTAATTGTTAATGTTCAGAGACATTGAGTGTACTAATGTAGGAAAAACAAAAAGATGGCATGCAAGTACAGCAAACAATTAGGAATGAAAATAACGTGGCCTTCATTGCAAGGAAAGTAAGGATAACAATGTCTTGCCACAGTTGTACCCAGCTTCAGTGATATTGGAGGACTGTGTGGAATTTTAATATCCATATCTAATGAGGATATAACTGCCTTGAAGGCAGTATTTACTTGATTGGTTCCTGGGATGAAAAGCTATTCTATGAAGGAAGGTTGAAAAAATTAATTCTATGTCTTCTGGGAATGAGAGTTGGTTTTATCGACTCATACAGGATGTTTTAGGGGCTGGAGACTGTAGAAACTGAGAAATAGTTTCTACTGGCTGGGGAATCTAGAACATAGCAACAGAGTTTCAGGATAAAGGGAATTTAGGAATAAAATGAGGAAACATTGGTTTCACTGAGAGGATTAAGGATCCTTGGAATTGCATACCGAAGAGAGTTGTGGATGCTCTATCGTTGAGTGTATATAAAGCTGTAAAAAGAAATTGAGCTTTCATCTCTCAGTGAATCATGTATTTGGGGAGTGGGAGGTCAAGTGAAGTTGAGGCAGAAGATCAACAACGATCATACCAAATTACAGCAGGTTTGAGGAGGTTTGAGTAGGCGTACTTCTGCTCCTTTTCCATATGTTCTTATCTGCTCTGTTCTTGTGTCCAATCAATGTAGACTTTCCCTGATATGGCCATGATGCTCCATCTGAAAACCTGCTTGTAGCTGCTGATGATGATCTTCTCACCTGATGATGATGGTTTTGCTGAATTTCTATAGTCAATTGAGGCTGCTTCCCCAGAAGCTTTATTCAGTTCTGTCCTTTTAATTAATCTGAGAATACTTCCACTCATTGACAAAAACATCTCAAATAGCAATGACAAAGAATGCCACCACAATTTTTGTTGCATTTAAAGACTCTAGCTTCCATCACAAGTAATCTGTGTATGCTAAAATTGGTATTCTACTTGCTAGTTGGTGAAATAAAGCATTCCACTCAAAACTCAAGTTACATGGGAGTAAGGTTTGGGATAGGAGTAGGGAGCAAACTTGCTCCTGAAAGTCCCAAAACTCAAAGGATAAATCCCACGCTGGGAGTGAACAATCAGAGAAAAGATGTCCCCACAAGTCAAAAGGATAGAATTAATGCAGAGCCATTCCTCAAAGCACAGGCATGTTCTCTCCCATGTTTGCTACTAATAATGAGGGATGGGGTAAGGTGGGGAGTGGTAGAGAATTGAAAGCGTTTTTTTCCAAATTGTGCTGTTGGATTCCTGCTGGAAATTAGAAGTTAGGAATGGCTAAGTCCAGTTCAAGATTTAATGAGAAATGACAAGTTCTGACTGTACTTGATTAGACTTAAGATTATGGACGGTCAAATAAGCCATACCTTAAGTAAATAGCTCCTTGAGTGGTTATTTGACCAGCACCTATAACTGGTATGAATGTCATCAGATAAGATGGGTTGATTTAATTCTAATTATTAGAACATTAAAGAAGATAAATATTTTCTGTTGTGTCCAGCAATCAAGGGGAATTTACAAACTCTTTATTTTAACAAGATATAATTTTAATTGCAGTGATTTTTAAACATGCCAGTGTAAGTGTAATTATACATAAAGTGTATAATTCAACTGAAATATGTGATGATTCCTTCTATGGTATTTTCATTATGCAGACCAAGGCAATGGAAAAAATGTACTAATCAAAACACAATTTGGTAGACATTAATCATAAGTTTTCTATTTTGTTTACTTTGCATTTTGCTTTACCAGCACCTGGAATACTTTGGCCAATAATGCAGGAGAAAGCTCAGCTTGTCCTTCAATTTCACAGAAGAAACATATGAAAGTCACAGAAGGACTTGGTTATTGGGAGAAGGTGGCTGGGAGGTGCTAGGTTAGAGGACTACATTTAAAGATATGGGCTGAGGAAGAAAAACATGGGTACATTTGCTGGACCAGAATAGTCTTGTAGTCAATAATCTCGCAACAGCAAGAATGCAATGCCCAGTGTTTCACAGAGAAGGAGACCTACACTCAAAAGAACATGAGATCATACTGGGCAACTGTTAGAGCATTTCAACATGAGATCACAATTCAAGCATGTGTATCTGCAGGTCTTAAGTACAGTTCCATGCTGGTGGGAACTGTCATCAATTTAGATGTGTCTGAGACAGTTCTGTCAATGTAATGACAACTTACTGATGATGTGTTGCTGCTAAGGCACTGGATACCAAATCAAAACAAATATCGGGTAAAGTACTCAATGCACAATATGAAACAATTCTGTTCAATTAAATCACATTTTTTCTCTTTGTGCGTAGATTTATGTGCATTACATCAATTTAATTCAGTACAGTTCAGCTTACAATTTGCTGGGAACATTTTTGGTTTGGCTTTTCCTTAATATTTTCTTCATTCCTCTGTGGTATAGCATTTCAACACTAATTATTTGGCATAGAACACAATATGATCTGAAGTCAAGTGATTTTAAATGCATTGATATATTCATATGACTTATGATACATTCATCTTTTGTCTATTAGTACAGCAAAGCTTTTAATCTGTTAAATTTTATCACATAGTATCTGTTACCCTACATGATTTAGATTGAAGTAATGTGGTTACAAAATGTAACCAGTGTCTTAAAACAAAAAAAAATTCCTAAAATGGTACGTGAGCATAAAATTTAAGGTTTTGCTTTTCTTTAAAGCTCTGATTTCACTACTACAGACCAATTACATTTTTCATAGTAATTTGAGTGAGGCACCATGTTTATATGGTCCAGTTGCACTGGTGTTGAATGAGAGAAAACAGAGCTCCATTGCATGTGTAATCAGTCCAGACAAAGTGCTGATTTCCAGCCTTTGCTGTTGATGTAACTTTTAACAATTGACAGAATAGAAAGCTCTTTTCTGCCGTAAGGAATTAGCAGCAATCCACCTTGGCTTTTTTAAAACTTTTGAAAAGAACATTTTAAATCATGATTCCTGTGAAGTAGATAACACTGTATGTTTGGTGACAGATTTGTACCAAGTCCGGCACTTACGCTGAACCTACAGTATATCTTGAGTCTTGGACATTATTTTCTTTCTAATAATCAAAAACATTCATGTGTCAGTTTGATACCTTTAAAAACAAGGTCAAATTGGATTATGACATCTTCTGTACCCTATCAGGGTCAGCTTTGATTTAATTGATGGTCCATAAAACATTCAAAGCAAGTCTGACCTGTTATCCCACTAATTATATGAGACGAAGAGAAATGTCTTTACTGTGCATGTGGTGAACCTGTGGACATCTGGGCCACATAAGGCTGTGCAGGTAAAGTCAAAATAAATAAAAAAGAAATAGAATTCTTGAGCCGAAATGCATCAAGGGATATTGGGAGAGAGCAGGACTGTCGCGTAGAGATAGAGTACTGGCATGATCGTATTAAATGGTGCAGCAGGTTCGATGGGCTGAATAGCTGACTTCTGGTCCTATTTTCTATGTTTCTATATTAATTCAAAATTTGTCAGAAGCTCTTGAAACCAATAGAAATTACAAATTTCAGTGTTTGAAGAATGATCCTAGTTTACTGCCCACCAGTGAGGTACCCTTGAATACTAGGTTTTGCGTTTACATAGGAATTTCTCTTGACCATCCATCATTACCTTAATGAAAGATCAGTGGAAGTCCCCTGGAACAGTGTTCATGCTGTTTTTTGATGCTTGCTGTTTTTCCATTAAATTTATGGAGAACCTCCATTGAAATCCAACACCAACAGATGTCAGTGACAGCATGGACTTAGCTCCTCTGTATGTTTTGTTTATACTTTCAGAATTACGTGATGAAGAATTTGTTTGAGGATTGGTGATTTTGATGTAAGATGTGGTGGGAAGAAAAACTAAGATGCTTGGTTAATGTCCCCACAAAGAGGCCAAACTCTTTTGATGGTCAGGTTTCAATTTGATTGGACATGTAAGCTGCCTGTGCCTTTGCAGCATGATCCACAACTGGGAGGAAGAAAACTCAGTGCCCATTGCTGGAGTTGGCTCACAATTCCAAATTCAAGGGGAAAATCAGACCAATGTGTGGTAGGCAGCAGTGGAAAGTGAGTAAGCAGGTTGGAACATTGCTTCAGCATCACAGGAAGGCACTGTTATGCTTATCATAGCCACAAAAATGTTTCAACATCTTTCAGCAACCCCTTTAAGGTATATTAACATGACTATGTTCTGCAATGCTGTAATAGGTGGGGCCTAAGTTTAGCAGCAAAAAATATGTATCACTCATAGAATATTGCATAATTATGAAGTTGCATACAAACTGCTTCTGTTCATCTTCCCCCATTGACCAATCGTAATAATCTATATGGGTGGATAACATTCAATTTGACAACCTTTCTGGAATTGCAACACAAAATTCCATTCAGACTCATTTTTGTTTTAGATTTAATTTCCATTCATTGGTTTTCTTTTAACAGATCTATAATCATTCCTCATTAGGTGTAACATTAATTGATACAATGTGGAAAAGACTTACTCAAAGTGTTTGCTGCTCCAACAGGAACTACTGAAGAGCTATAAGGTGAAAGTGTGCTGCTCACTTTGAAACCTGAAGTGCTGGTAATTGAAGTAATGGTGGCAGTTGAAGACACCTCTATGTCTGACATCTGACTTGTTGGTACTTTTTGTGACTCTGTTGAGATAATTAGGGCTGTGGTTCTGGCACTGGAGCTGTTATCTGGGAAGGAGCTGTTACCATTTTCTTCTGTTTGATTAAGACTTTGATTGTCACTAGTATTTAGATTACTATATATTTCAGTAGTTAAAGAAGCACGGATGTCAGAAGTTTTCGTAATTCCAAGATCCACTGTTACATTAGTCTTCGAATTCTCTCCATTGGGTGAACCAGTGCTGAAATTAGTTTCAGGATCAAATGTTGAAGCAGAATGAAAAATCTCTGTTATATTTGTTTGATTTGCAATTGTGGCTTCACCATCAGTTACAACTTCCAGGATACCTTTAATAAAAGAAAAATAATTAGTATGCCATTTATTGGAATAGCTCTTCAGACTGACTATACAATTTCTGCTATGACCTGGCCTGATTACCAATTACATACATATACCATATAGAGTCACAGAATCATACAGCACGGAAACAGACCCTACATGCTGAGACTGAGCCATTCAGACCAATGCCACTTCCTAGTCCATGCTACAAGAGCTGATTTTAACTGGGCCATGAATCTGGCAACTAGAATTGACCTTGGGTTGTTAAAATGTTATCAAGTAACTCCTGCCAACATGTGCATATACATAGACACTGGGTGAGGACTGATTGGGCTTGTGATGCCCTCTATTAAAACAACTTCCTGCAATAGAACAGCAATTCATTGTCCACTAATGAATGACCACTAAAGTGAATGTTAACTCTCATTTATTTCAAATGAAAACAGAAATTGCTGGAGAAACTCAGCAGGGTCACTGGACCCTAAACATTAACTCTGCTTTCGCTCGATAGCTGCTGCCAGACCTACTGAGTTTCTACAAATATTTCAAAAAGAAAAGTTTATAAAGTGAACTTCGGTCTGATGGAAAATGAGTCAGGGGAATTAATAGAGAAAAATAGAGAGAAGTCTGATTAATTGAACAGGTATTTTGCATCATTCTTTACTCTTGAGATTAAAAGAAACATCTCGCAATTAGTTATCAACCAACAAATGGAAGGGAGGAAGGAATTCAAGAAAATTATAATCACTGGGGAGGTGGTACTGAATAAGATGCTGGACTTATGGGTTTATAAGTCCCTGGATCTTGATGGACTTAATCGAGAGTCTTAAAATAATTAGCTAATGAAATTCTCTAGATTGGAGGAGATAGCAAATGCAACTCGTTCCTTCAAAAAGGGACAGAGACAGAGAGCAGGAAACAATGAACCAATTAGCTTAACATCTGTCATAAGAAAGATGTTTGAAACTATTATTTATGATATTATGGCAGGGAATAGTAAAATTCAAGATAATCAAGTGGAGTCAACATTGTTTAGTAAAAGAGAAATCATGACAATCAATTTATTGGACTTATTTGAGGAAGTACACAACAAGGATTTTGAGAAACCCAAAAAGGTAATATGCCAGGAGACAAGTCTGTCATATTATGACAGAAAGAAATGTGTCATTCCGCAGACAGATACTTCTATAAAAGGACTGGGAATAGCCAGTACAAGCAGGGAAGCCAACACCATACACATCCAAAGCTCTAAACCTTGGCTGTGACCAGATATGACAACATGAAAAGAGAGCTTTCTGCAGTCATGTGTGAATAAGAGAAGTTTCATATATATCTCTATGGAGGTAAGTTCATTATGTAGATTTATCAATGCCCACTGAAGGAGATCTACAACAAGAAGCTGTGAATTTTTAAATTCACTCACAGAATGTGGGTGTTGTTGGCTGAGCCAGCATTTATTGCCCATATCTAGCTGCCCTCTTGCCAACATACCACAAATGAATAAGAAAAATTACAGACGTTATTCCTGAGACACCCACTCTCCACTGTTAGATTTTTCCATTGACATAGAATCCCTACAGTGTGGAAACATGCCCTTCGGCCCAACAAGTCCACACCACCCACAAAGCATCCCATCCAGACCCATTCCCCTATAACCCACCTAATCAACACATCCCTGAACACTACAGGCAAGTTAGCATAGCTAATCCACCTAGTCTGCACATCTTTGGAATGTGGGAGGAAACCGGAGCACCCAGAGGAAACTCACGCTGACACGGGGAGAATGTGCAATCTCCATACAAACAGTTGCCCGATGGTGGAATTGAATCCAGTTCCCTGGTGCTGTGAGGCAGCAGTGCTAACCACTGAGCCACCGTGCCATCCACCATGCCACTGTGTTGCCACAGGAGAAACGAGATTGAAGATATAGGTATAGAGATTCATCTGAATGTAACACCACCAAAACGGAGTCAAATTAGAGATTAGAGTAGCAAAGATAAGAAGTTACTGATACTTTCTCAGCAAGTGATCCAGGGATGCACGAGTGAAACACAACAAACACAGCCAGTATTTTGGTAGTGCTGGTCTGTAGAAGATGTTATTTCACTGGAAGATGACATTCTGTTAGGCAGATCCAGGATAAATCATTTGCAAAACAATACAAAAAGGATTTCTCCAGAGGATACATAAAGGCCACATGGGAATGAGGAAGTGTAAACTGAGAATCAGATCAGCCATGTACTATACAGGCATCTGAATGGTTGTCTACATGTCATATATTCCACAAGTTCACAAATGCACAGCAGAATGAGGAGAAAATAGCTAGTAATTTATCACCTACGCCATGGCATACTATGGGAGCTGATTTATTCACACTCAATCAAAAATGGTCTATCATAGTTCCACATAACTACTCAAAACTTCCTTTTATCTAGAATACAAAATGTTTGAGAGCCACAACAATGATCTCTGCAGTACAAGTCATGTTTCACTGAACAAGAAATTCCTGAAATAAATGACAATGGCACTCATTTACACCTGGAGAATTTAAGGAGCTCACACAGCTCCTCAGAATAGAACACACAGGTTCAACATCATCACGTCATAATTACATCAACCAAAGATAAAGGGGTTTCTAGAAATATAGTTCCAGGCAGTTAAAAGAATCTTTGTGAGATTGAGAGATAAAGAAAGACCCAAACCTTGCCATATTGTCACTTTGATTCATACCTCTCAAAGTTAACATTAAATCACCTGCAGAGTTGCTGGATGGAAGAAAATAGAAGACGACTCTAACAAGTAAAATGCATTCTAAAGAGACCAAGAAGAAGTGAGACAACAACTATCTGAAGCACAGGAAAGGGGAGATCAGTAATTTAATAGACATGCTAAATTCCAATCTGAGTTGTTGAGAGGATAAACTGTACATGTGCATTATCCAAGCGTGGAGCCCATCAAATTTGTAACTAAACCTGAAACCCCAGAGGTTATCATCGTTGAGACTGAAATCAATAAGCAAATGGGAAGAAACAGAATTAATTTTCAAACTATGCTGCAGAGACTGAAAAGACCATCAACAACACTGAAAATATCACTATCCAGGGAGAAAACATTAGCAATGTGAAGGAACGTCTGCAACATCAGCAACAAAACCCATATCATATGTGCAACATGGCACCTCACCACTGACAACAATGAATGCCCAATCAACAAGATAAGGATGGAACATCCTGCCACCTAAATAATAGTGAAAAATATTTTTAGAAAAGTATATGTACTATGAAATACTGTAGAGGGGTTTCAGTTTATTTCTAACTGTTGATTGATAATCTTTAATTCAAAGAAAGTTTACTTTAGTTAGGGCTGTAATGACTCAATTACATTGATAGGGATATTACAATATGAAGAAAGAAAGAGTGATGTATATATGTACAGCTGTATTACCTGTAATTAGCTAGGAAACCAAATTTATGGTTGCACTACAGAGTCATGGTGATATGTAAAAGGACCAGCCTAAACCAGTTCTTTTGCACAGGCAGCATGGCAAGCATTTAAGCAAAAAGAGCTGTTATCATTCCAAGCTGAAAGTATGATTATTGCAAATATCTGGGCGTACAGTAATACAAGTTCTATATCTACCAAAACCATGGTTAAAATTACACAGACTAAAGAAAAGAATGCCTGCAAAAACTATGTGGCTTTTACATCTGTGTTACAGATTTGTATTTTGATTCAAACCTTAACGTTTGCTCTGCTGCTGATGATGTCCACTCCTAATTCCACTGGTGCCTAAATCCTGACCTCTGATACCCATTATATTCACTACCAGTGAATGTAATGCCTGTGTCTTTGGTAATACATCTTGTCTGCCCACCATAGTAAGAAGTTTGAAAAGGTTTATTGGTTATCTAATAGTGCCACAGGCACAGGGATGTCACAGACGCTGGATATTTTTTTGAAAATTTAACTCCTTGTTAAGGACACTGAATCAAAATAAAGGTTTCCAGTCAGGACCCAGGCCTGAGCGCCTACAGGCTCTATTTCCATCGCAAAGCCAACCTGTATGTAGCTAAATATTTGGTGCGAAGAAGGCTAAGGTTAAGCACATTTTTAATATGGGAATTTCCTTTCTTTTGGTCCCATCTCTTCGGATATCAGAAACATTGGCAAAAATGGAATAAAAGAATAAAAATAAAAATTTGCATTTAGACAAGCAACATTCATGATTTCAACATGTTGTACAAAGCTTTGCAACTAATAAAAGCCAGGCAGGCTGAAAGTTGGGAGGATTCCTGGCTAGGAGTTAGAAATCAGCCTCCTGCACCCACTTTATGCTATTTAACTGTCATTGGAAAGGATGAATTCCAGATGTCTTTTTTTTGCTGCTGCAAGATATTGCTTGGGAGTGGCAAAAAACATCCATGAAGTGTAATTAGTTAACACAGTGTGGAGCTGGAGGAGCACAGCATGCCAGACAGCATCAGAGGAGCAGGAAAGTTTACGTTTCGGGTTGGGACCCTTCTTCAGAAATGGGTAACCCCACTGCGAAGCATCTCCTAGGGATGCCTACCTTGAATAAATTAACCTCCTCCCTCCGGAAAGACCTCAGTGGATTTCTCTCCCACTGCAACCCTCCGGTAATGTCTTCAGCCCTGAAACTGATTCCAATTCTGAAGAAGGGTGCAGACCTGAAACGTCAACTTTCCTGCTCCTCTGATGCTGCCTGGCCCACTGTGCTCCTCCAGCTCCACACTGTGTTATCTCTGACTCCAGCATAGGCAGTTCTTACTATCTCTCATGAAGTGTAATTATGCTTGAATATGCATCTAATACTCGTCCAGTGTCAGCTCACTATTCTGCCGTGGAGATCTTGTTCCTAAAACAGCCAGGTAATGACAACAATGCCATAATTTATTGAACTCATTGGATGAAAAAGTGATTTCGTCCATTTTCCTGGGTGCATAGGGGGGCGATCAGAACCTGCTTGCACTTATTCAAAAAAATAAGTGGACAGCGCGTTAAAAATTGATATACCCACCTCACCATCATGATTATACTACGGTGTGAGGGACCATATATTTTTCCTTTTTGAACTATAAACTGGAATAGAAGTTGGACTGTTATATTGCAGAAATACCAGGAGAGTTTTTCAACTTGAAAATCAAGTGGTCCACATTTTTAGCTGTGTAATATAATGTTACTTTTTGAAGCTTTGAAGCAGACACATTTGAGACAGAATAGTACCAAAAGTATTTGAGTTAAAGAAAGGCTGTCTGATAACAGACTCAAGTTGGTTGAGATGCAGTTTGCTACAAATCTATAAAAACAGTAAAGCCAGGGATCTCCAGAGCTGGTAAACTGAAAACAATTCCATCTCCCCTTCTCTCCATGTGAATCAAAAGACAGAAAAAACAAGAAAGTTTAAAAGGAATTTTGACATGCAACACCCCCAAGCATCTAGCACAGTTTATAAATATTGTACATACTGCAGCATAACGGGCATTCACCAAGGTGAACTTCTTGGCTTGGTCACACATTACTGAAGATTCATAGAGTGACATTGCTTGCAACATTGCTCCCCATTGATGAGAATACCCTCATAGCCACATGTCTTCAGTCAATGGAACCCTGCCTGGTCAAAAACCTATGTTGTTGCAGTTGTACGGGGCCTTGGTGAGACCACACCTGGAATATTGTGTGCAATTTTCGTCTCCTTTTTTGAGGAAAGATGCTCTTGCTCTTGAGGTTGGACGTGAAGGTTTACCAGGCTGATTCTGGGAATGGCAGGTCTGACGTATGAGGAGAGATTGACTCGGTTGGAATTGTTTTCACTAGAATTCAGATGAATGAGTGGGGATCTCATAGAGACTTACAAAATTCTAACAGGACTGGACAGGGTAAGTGCAGGGGGTATGTTCCTGATGGTGGATGTATCCAGAATCAGGGGTCACACTATGAGGATTCAGGGTAGGCAATTTAGGATAGAGATGAGGAGATCTTTTTTCTCCCAAAGAGTGGTGAGCCTGTGGAATTCATTACCACAAGAAGTAGTTGACACCAAAACACTGAATGTATTCAAGAGGTGACTAGATATAGAACTTGGGGCAAATGGGATCAAACGTTATGGGAAGAAAACAGGATTAGGCTATTGAGTTGGACGATCAGCCATGATCATGAACAATGGCGGAACAAGCTTAAAGGGCTGAATGGCCTCCTCCCTCTCCTATCTTTCTATGTTTCGATACTGGTGAATCCAAAAACCCTCTCCTTCTGATATTTTCTTTATTTGGAGAAAAAGATGAAGCACACCTTTACTGCATCAGTGCCTCTGTAACCTCCCGCATACTTGCATCCCGGTTGCTAAGTGGCCAATTAATTTTGAAAAGACTTTCTACAAACTTCCAATTTTCCCTGGATCGTGGGGAAAAGTAAAATAAGTGACACACTTGTTCAGGAAAGTTTGTTAGGATATTTCTAGTAACTGCAGATTGGTCAGTGTAGCAACAAGATAGGAAATACACTTGGAGAGGTTTGAGCTAATTAAAAGCAGCCAGTAAAAGAAATTATAAAACACAGATTGTGTTTGATTAATTCATTACATTCTTCGTGATATAACAAAGAAGATTAATGAAGGGAATACACTGGATGTCATCTCTATAATTTGACTAAGCCACATAAAAGGCTGATTAGCAAAACTAAGGCTTATGGAAAAGCAGGGTCAGTGTCAGCTTGGACTAAAAAATGGCTTAAAGAGAGAAACAGTGAGTTTTGTTGAATGATTGGTTTTTAGACTGGAGAATGGTAGACAATGGTATTTCCTAAGGGTCAATGCTAGCACAATTTTTTTTTGTTTTATATATAAGTAACTTGAATATTGGAGTACAGAGTAAACTTGTCCATGACATCCATTTTGTCCATGACGTGAATTTGGAGGGTTGAGAGTCATATCAACTGACTGTAAGAAGGCATGGATAGGCTGACAGAATGGATAGGTTAAGTAGAAGATGGAATTTTATACTGAAAAGCATGAGGAAACTTATTTTGACAAAAGAGATAAGATTAAATGTTAAAATAAAATAAAGAGGAGATGGTGAAGATCTGAAACAAAGTCAGAAACTGTTGGAGAAACTCAGCAGGTCTGGCAGCATTTGTGGAGAAAAAGCAGAGTGCAGTGACTCTTTTCCTTTGTTTCAGATTAGACGCTGACATGGACTAGTTCAGCTGAGGAGCCTATTTCTGCATAGGCACTTCCAAGTATTACCTTGTATTCTAAACAGGACAGAGCTGACAGAGAAGGCATCACTGAAAATGGACAAATGGTTTGTGGGCTGCAAACAAAAAGCATCTGACGAGATCTGTGCTCATGTCTGAATGAAATATAGATTTATTGATAAAGGGCAAAAGTAAACAGAAGATTCTCACAATTCTTTGCAGCTTTTGGGTTTTGTAAAAGAAGCATTAATGGTGCAACACCGCCTTACATGATGTGTTAGATTCTATTACAAGCATTGGTATTTCACTACTGAATAAAACAGGTACTTGGCCTTCTTTCTCTGTATTGCAGACATGCATTCGTTGATTGTTTTTAAAGAAATAAACAGGATGTGCAGTTCAAAAGAAACCTCAGACTTCTTGGTTATCACTCAAATATATTGAAAAATATTGTTTCCACCTGCAATTGGCAGTATATCTAATGCAAATCTAATCCGGACCCTGATCAAATAGATTCATTTTGTTTAATCAAATAATTTTCAGTACTATTTAATTACATAGCAATAACATTTTTCTGCTGCAAATCATGTATGTGTCACAACTAATTTGAGCCACATCTAAAATAGTGTTAATGTGGCAATCTTAGTTAAAACATTTCCAGAGAAATTTTCAAAAAAAATCTCAGTCTTTAGTTTGTTGAAGACACAAGAAGGGTATAGTCCAAATTGCTTTGAATTAATTGCATTTTGTGATAGGAAGGGATGGAGGTGGCAGAATTGTTATCTTTAAGAGTAGGATTTCTGACTGTAAAATGATTAACAATCTGAAAACAATTGCAATTAAGGCTTTACTGGACAGTTGTGTTGATAATATGTACATTAGCTGACAATATAGCATGGAGTTTTTGGTGAGATTTTCAGGCAGTTTCAAGTTTAGCCAAAAGAAGAAATTGGCGTGATAAGAAATTTTTGCCACCCTGTAAGCTCATAGTTTTGAAATAAATGTCAGTTCTAGATGAGGAACCACCTTTTCGTTAACCATGAATGTATGCTTTCAGTAAGGAGATGCATCCACTGTCTGGGGCTCATTGCTCCTTCATATTAACAAATTTAAAAGCCGCCTGTACGCTCCTTCTCTGGTGGTCGGGTCTCAGAATTACTCCTTTCACAGCTTTAGAAAAGAATAATTTGATTTTGGAATCTAACCAGCACTGGTCCTTACAAAAATGAACACAATTCCTCATCTACAAATGTATATCACAAAATAACATCAATGAGGGGCCCACTACTGAAAAGTCAAGGGGAAGCCTGAAGCTGCTACTAAATTGCAACTTAAATGATGCATGTCAGTTGCATACTGAATCTACCATGATTTCAGATATTTAAAAAAATCACAAAAGGTGTTACAAATCTTGGTTCACAGCACACTTTTCTCTGGAACTACAAATTTCACCGAATAACACATTTCCTCCAGTTATGAAGCCATTTATCACCTTTAATCCATTATGGGCATTCAAAGCGGAAAAAGCTAGTAACATTTGAATATCTTTCAAGGGCCCAAGTCATTAAATGAATTCAAGATGATTGTGTTTTGGTGCTTCCTTCTTAGTTTGTCATTTTTAAGCCAAACATTTGAGCAAAGTAATGCACTTGAATGGATGCAAGAAACCTGAAGTCAGCTACAAATTAGAACTATTTGGTTGGTTCTTGAATAGTACTGGGTACAGAAGTTAGAAAGAAAGCCAAAATCACCCTTCTGCTACAGAAGGCCATGCAGTCACAATCAGCTTGCACAGCGAGCACCAATAAGGGGAAAAACATGTAGCAAATAATCAAAGATTGCACATTAAAACATTGAAACTAGTTCAGTTTCATAGAATCCCTTCAGGGATTCCTTTATTGTATATCAAGGAAATAATAATGTAATTAGATGTATTTAAAAGAAAGAGAATAAGCTTACCAGTAGCGATGAGCAGTTTGGAAAAAAATGTCAGATATGCCATAATTATTTTGTCCATTGGAATATTTTTGTAGACAGATATTTAAATCACAAAACAAAAAATGTGGCTTTCAGGCACTGTTAAGAATTTTAAATACATTATCATTTCGACTAACCTCTTTATCCTTGCTTGCCTCACTTCCTTTTTTCTCAAAACAGCCAACCAGAACACTGCAAAGGTTATCTAGCTGTTAATTAGCTCTGCATTGCTGTTCACTGAAAACCACAACAAGATCTTAACTGCTAGAGGGGCACAGCCTCATACCATAATATTCACTCAGATATACATATTCTGCATCTTTGTTCCACTACTGCTAAATGTCTCAAAATGAACTTCATTTCACAAGGGCACTTTACAAACTAATTTCTTTCCTTCTCAGCAAGCCTAACTTGAGTAATATGTGAATTTACATTGCCGAGATTGGCCAAGTGCAGACTCATGCAAACAGTGAAGTGGGTAGAGGCAAGACGAGGCTGAAAAGTAGTGACTCTGTTCCAGTGGCAGCAGCACGGCAAAGGGACTCGAGGCTGGCCTACTGCTTCATTCTGGTGTTGGTCTCAGCATTAGGGTGGAACAGCCTGGATCTAGGCCCATGGCTAAGCATTTAACAAGAAGGACTGTAAAGTTGAACTCTTAACTTTATTTCCTTATTTTCGACCTTTACATTCTATGTCTTGATTTATTTTCAGTGTTTTAAGTTGGTGATGGAGAACGGTCTCATTAAACAACACTTTGCACTGTATTTGCAACAAATACATGTAACAAGTATGTGTGACAATAAAATCAATCAATCAATTTTCACATTCATTTTTGCTCTGTGTAAAAATTAAGCACTTCTGAGTTCACTTTAATACAAGTTAACTGCAGAATAAGCTCATCCATAGTGACTAAACGTGGTGTTGCCACCAACCACAATGTTGCTGAATTAATGAAACAAGGTAGTTTACTTCACCCTTTGAGTTAAAATTTAGGTCATGGTTTTATGTACTGGTCAGATCGCACGTCAAGTAATTTATATAGTAAATACATTTGTGACAGTTTCTGGAACCTATAGTAGGTTGGTTGTGAGTATATAATGCTCATTTGAAACTAGCAATGACATTTTTCACCTCAAGTTGCAGCCAATACTTTCTCAGCTGAACATTAATTCAACAGTAGGAAGAACCACCAGCAGTGCAACTAAAAGAGCTCATCAACCACTTTCAGGTTAGAACAAAGAAGAAAGAAAATTACAGCACAAGAACAGGCCCTTTGGCCCTCCAAGCCTGCACCGACATGCTGCCCATCACAATTAAAACCCCTTACCCTTCCAGGAACCGTATCCCTCTATTCCCATCCTATTCATGTATTTGTTAAGACACCCTTTAAAAGTCACTATCGTATCTGCTTCCACTATCTCCCCCAGCAGCGAGTTCCAGGTACCCACCAACCTCTGTGTAAAAAACTTGCCCTGCACATCACGTTTAAACCTTGTCCCTCGCACCTTAAACCTATGTCCGCTAGTAACTGACTCTTCCACCCTGTCCAGTCTGTCCAGGCCCTTCATAATCTTGTCGACCTCTATCAGGCCACCACTCAACCTCCGTCATTCCAGTGAGAACAACCCAAGTTTCTCCAACCTCTCCTCATAGCTAATGCCCTCTATACCAGGCAACATCCTGGTAAATCTTTTCTGTACCCTTGTTACTTTCTGACTGATTTCCACTAGCTGATGCTTTGTTAGCAGTAGCATTTGGATGTTTATACTGTCATTTAAACTTGGTGAAATCTACAGGGAGTTGTGTTTTTTTAATTTATTCAGTTGCGGGATGTGGGCATCACTGGCTGGCCAGCATTTATTGCCCATACCTGGTTACCCTTCAGAAGGTAGTAGTGAGCTGCCTTCGTGAACTACTGAAGTCCATATGCTGTAGGTAGATCCACAATACAGTCAGAGAGGGAATTCCAGGATTTTGATCCGGCAACACTGAAGGAAAAGCAATATATTTCAAAGTCAGGATTTTGAGTAAAATGGTGGGGAATTTGCAGCTCGTGGTATTCCCATGTATCTGCTGCCCTTGTCTTTGTTGATGGAATTGGTTGTGGGTTTGGAAGATGCTGTCTAAGGATCTTTAGTGAATTTCTGTAGTGAATCTTGTAGATACTGCACATTGCTGCTACTGAACACTGATGTGGAGAGATGTTTGTGGTGTGGTGCCAATCAAGCAGGCTTGCTTCGACACTTGATTGTGTCAAGCTTCTTGAGTTTTGTTGGAGCTGCACCCATCCAGGCAAGTGGGGAGTATTCCGTCACATTCCTGACTTGTGTCTTGTAGATGGTGACCAAATTTTGGAGGAGTCAGGAAGTGAATTACTTGCTGTAGTATTCCTAGCCTCTGACCTGCTCTCATGGCCAATGTATTATATGGCAAGTCCAGCTCAGTTTCTCGTCAATGGTAACACCCAGGATGTTGATAGTGGGGGATGTAGTGATGGTAACACCATTAAATGTCAAGGGCTGGTAATTAGATTGTCTCTTAATGGAGATGGTCAATGCCTGGCATTTGTGTGATGCAAGTGTTTCTTGCCACTTGTCAGCCCAAGCCTGGACACTGTCAAAGTCTTGTTGCATTTGGACATTGACTGTCTCGGTTTTTGAGGAATCAAGAACGGTGCAGAACACTGTGCAATCATCGGTGAATATCTCGACCTTTGATCTTACGATGGAGGGAAGGTCATTGATAAAGCAGCTAAATATGGTTGGGCCTGGACACTCCCTGAGGAACTCCTGCAGAGATGTCCTGGAGTTGAGATGACTGGCCTTCAACATCCAAAACCATCTTCCAATGTGCCAGGAATATGTCCAAGCACCAGAGAGTACCCCTTCTGATTCCCATTTATTTCAAATTTACTAAGGATCCTTGATGGTATTATGGTTTGAATGTGGCCTTGATATTAAAGGCTGTCATCCTCACTTCATCCCTGGAATTAAGCTCTTTTGTCTATGTTTGAACCAAGGCTGTGAGGAACCAATGAGGTGAGGAACTGAATGGCCCTGGCAGAATATACATTACTGTACAGGTTATTGCTGAGTAGGTACTATATGAAAGCACTGATGATGACACCTTCCATCACTTTACTGATGATTGAGAGTAGACTGATGGGAACGATAATTGACTGGTTGGATTTGTCCTGCTTTGTGTCCACAGTACTTACCTAGGCAATTTTCCACATTGTCAGGTAGATGCCTTTGCTGTAGCTGTACTGGAACAGCTTGGTTAGGAGAGCGACAGGTTCTGGAGAACAAGTCTTCAGTACTATTGCTGGAATATTGTCAAAGCCCATAGTTTTTGTAGTATCCAGTGCCTCCAACCATTTCTTGATGTTATATGGAGTAAATCAAATTAGCTGCAGACTGTTATCTATGATGTTGGGCACCTCTGGAGGCCAAGATGGATCATCTACTTGGCACTTCAGGCTGAACATAGTTGCAAATGCTTCAGTTTTACCTTTTGCACTACTGGGCTGGGCTCTTCCATGATTGACGATTGAGATATCTGTAAACTCTCATCCCCCATTGATTGGTTTAATTGTCTACCATCATTCATGACTGGACATTGCAAAATTACAGAGCTTAGTTCTGAACTGTTGGCTTTGACATCACTTAGTTCGGTCTGTCACATGCTGCTTACCCTATATGGCGTGCAAGTAGTCCTGTTTTGTAGCTTCACCAGGTTGACATCTCATTGCCACGTATGCCTACGTTCTATCATTAGGCAATCACCTCCCCTATGTATGGTACACATTGAAGGCATTGACCCTGACTTTCACAGTCTGACACAGGCTACTTGTTCCCGGGCAGTGACTGTTATAGCCTGTAATGCCCTTGACTTGCAACATAATAAAAAGAATGATTAGAAGCAGTCCAGAGGAAGACAGCTGCTCGAGGAGGGAGGACAAAAGAGGCAATTCTTCTATCTCAATCTCACTAAGGAGTACTGTTTATGACGTTTGTATTTCACTGAGGGAGTGGTCACTGAATTTTGCAACCTTTTATAGGCAATGCCAAAGCACACGGCATGCCAGATCTGTTGAAAGTGGTTAGCTTTTCTTATGTGAACTAAATCACTGTGTGTCAGCTTCCGGAAAACATGTTGTATAGATTTATTAAAGATTGGCATTTGCACTTAGACCAGTGTTGATTTAGATATGTAATGCATGTTGTTCAGTCCTTTTAGGATATATCGGTTGGATGGAGGTAAAGGCTTCATTTAGTTTATCTAATGGTGTCCATGTGTGTCAGGTTTACTATGTGTACTGCGTGACTGGGCTATACAAGCTGTAACCTTGTCGCTACTTCCTGGGGATTTTTTAATATGCTTGAATGCCATGAAGAGAACTTTGGAAGCTTCTTTGGCATTCTTCCTTGGTTGTCTCTTCCTCACATGTTGCAGTGATGCATTGTTTTGGGCCTTGAGTTTCTCCAGGTGATTGGTTTTTATTTTACACATTTTAGCCCAATGTTCTTTTGTGAAACATAACTTTCATATGTCACTTAATTCTGGATACTGTCTCGGTGGGTGAGACAGGATACACCTAATATAAGACTTGCATGTTCCATTCAACCTATGGACAGCTACAATAGTTGTTGCAGAGTCAAGCACTTGCACATCCTCCTGGCCTGCTAGAGCTGCTTCAAACATGTATCCTTCTTCTCATAGAACATATTCTTTCGGATTCAATTCCTATACCTGTTGAGGTAATAAAGAAGGACTCTCTTTCTCAACCTCTCCCCTCATCTGAGACATGGTGATCCTCACCTCTCTTTCTAATGGGAGAGCAACCCTATGGTCTGGTAAGACACTTGCAACTTTACCTTGCCTTAAATTCCTTAGGTTCATCTAAAGGAGTCTTTGATCAATTCCAAATGCCATCAGCCATATTTGCTTCAGTGAAATCACATTTTTTTTACCTTTGTCTTGACATCTGCCTGTGAACTGATCAATTATTTCACCTAGTTGTTGACAGCGTGATATAAACTCAAGTCAAAGCAAAATACTGCTGATGTGAAGATCTGAAATAAAAATAAAGAGAAACTCAACA